AGACATCCAATTCATTATGCAGGTACATATATATTTATATCAATAGAATGTTTAATTTCTAAATTATTTTTTTATAAAATTTTAAATTACCTTTCTGTATCTATGCATTTTCTAAGTTACTACTTCAACCTAAAATATTTTTATTTGACACCTTCCTCACAAGATTATGGAAGGGGTCAGAGGCTCGAGAGAAGCCATCGAAACCAAGTAGCAGCAACACAAGAGGTAATATTTAATATTTTCGTAAGAATTTCATTGAGTTGTTATGTTTGTGAAGAATAATGCACTAAAACGAAATATTTTGTTTTAGCTTGCTATGTATAGGGATGCTATAGGATCTTTCAGAACTAGACTTGCCAAGAATTCTCAAACTAAGATGGATCCAGGTTATCCCCTAACTAATATTTTATTCATTCATATATTTAGTCTTATGAATTATTCGTGCCTTTATAATGCTTTTTGCACTTTAATTCAGCTGAATGGTGGGAGATATATGGTAGTGATGCACCTCACCTAAAGAGAATAACAATCAAGGTGTTGTCCCAGACATGTTCTGCTACTGGGTGTGAGTGAAACTGGAGTACGTTCCAATGGTTGCATACTACTAGGAGGAATCAGCTCGCTTCGGAGAGGCTTAATAAAATAGTCTACGTTCATTACAACTTAAACCTCTGAGAGTGACAAATAAGACGGAAGCTTGAAGGCTACGGGCCGATAGACTTGGACACAATATTTGTCACAAACACAACAGAACAATGGATAGTAGAGGAAGAGGAACCAGTGTTGCACAAGAGAGTGGTCCTTGAGGCTATCGGTGAGGAAGATCTTGAATAAATTGATGAACAGCATGAAAGATGAAGCAGCCTGCCAACATATCCACAATTCGTCGGAGATATTGGTGATATTACACTTAATGAGGGAGAGTGGGAAAGGGGGTCTAAGGGAAAATGAGAGAAATGATGATTCTGAGACCACCCAATCCCAGCCAAATTATTCACATATCGAGTCCCAACAGCAAGAGGGTAGGGACGAGCACAACAGTGTAGGTGAGCATGAAGGATGGACAAGCTTCAGAGACTTTGGATTAGGATCACAACAAAACACTAACACTCAAGGATTTGGGTATAGTCAGATGCTCACTAATTTGGATGATTCGTTTTTAGAATGAGTCAATGAATTGTCACGCGAATTCAATCAAAGGCACTAGTGTGACCAAGATGAAGAACGACGTCGTCTGTCATTTTATTTTTAGGTCGTATGTTACGAATTGTATGCTTTATTATAGTCCATGTATGATGATATACTTAATCCATGATAATTCTATATTTATCATTTTGTGTGATGTAAATTAAATGGTAAACAATAGTTCATGCAGGGAAAGAACATATCAATATTTGCATATTCATGCAAAGAAATGAAAATTCTTAATGGAGTACCCTCATTTCTTATTAGATTCCTAAAAAACAACATTTATAATGAATTTTAATAATTTTTTCGAAATGTTTTTAAGTTTTAATCCGACCGATTCAGCTGATTTCAGGTCCGAATCGCCGATTCAGGTCCGAATCTGGATGGGTTTTTAAAGTGCCCAATCCGGGTCACCGATCCGTTTTTTAAACCACTGGTCCAAACCAAGTATGCCTCGACTTTTTACAAGATTTAGTTAAACTATCGTCTAAACCTTCGAGTGGCAGTTTGATTTAATTTTGACTTTTTTTTTTATGTCTAATTCAAGTGTTCCTAGGTATCTATAACGTTATCTATCGGTCTAGATTTATCTGAACTGGTTATGGGTTATAGGCTATGGTGGATTAGGGTTTACTATCGTGGTCCCTAAGGTTTCAGAACCTAAGAAAATTAATCAATGCTAAATTGGGTGTCTACCGTTGCTCCTCTTTGGTGCACCCTATTATTTGAAGAATAGGTGAAAGGCAAAGTAGGCAACCGTAATATTTATTAACCTTTTTTTTCCCTAAGATCAAATGACCAAGGGCCTCACCAACTCATTTTTAGAGCATTTACGCGAGATGCCATGTCATCCCATTCAGTCATCTATGGCATTTTTATTCTAGGGTTTTTGATATGAGATTTTCTTGTGATATATTTTCGCATTGGTCTCTATCGAACCTTGAACTGCATTTTCTGGCCATGCCATTTAATCTTAGGCTATCAATTTCTCAAATTTTGAATTTATGAATTCTTGAAATTTGAATTTCGCTACTTTTCCAAAGTTCCCTTTCCCTTTTTAGGTCTTCCCATAACTACAACTATATGTTTTGACTTGAGGTTTAAGGTTTCACTGGAGATAGTTTGCTTTGATATGTCTCTGATTCAAGCAATCTCTTGGGTCTTGGATTCAGACTTTTCCATCATTAGCAATACGTCCTCATCTCCCGGCAGTAGATTGCTCCTCGATGAGATATTCTTGGGCGAATCCTTCAACTTCTTAATTTTTAAAAACATTTTTTAAGAGAGATTTTGGAAATGGGGAGAAATTTTTTTAAATAGAATACAGTATTAGGTTATAATTTTAACAAAAACACAAAAGTTTATTAAATCACAAGACAAAAAAATTTGAATTTTTTTTCTCTTGTTAAAGAACTTTTAAAAGAAGTTCTTTTTTTTTTTCTGAAGAGGTATTTGGAAAAGTCTTATTAAAATGTGTGAGTCTTACAATTTAACCTCCTGTGACCGTTGGGTGACGCTAGCATGTCGTGTCTTGCTGATATATTTAAGATAAAGAATCATTTAGTACTCCTTCATCTCCCAATCTTGGCCCATGTGCTGCAATCTAAGAGAGAGTTAATCAAATTTTTCTAATAAACTGATGTCTCGGAGAATCTGGGTTGTTGCCCCTTGAAACTGAGTTAGGTCGAGACACTAGCTCCTACTAGTGCTAGGGTGAGTAGGTGGATTGCCCTCGACCTATGCGGTCTCCGACTCACTTGAACTCTAACCAGTGGTCGTTAGGGTTAGGTGACTGACAATCGAGGTTAACCTAACAGGGGTTAGCTCCCCTAAGGGTGGGCTTGAACCTGGCAGGGGTTAGCTGACCTAAGGTTTTGAGGGGCTTGAACATATGCTTTACCTTGGCCATGCCAACTGGACCTAAAGCTAATCCTCGTGTCTTGCAGGATTGCCCCTAGAATAATACCCTGAGATGCTACGAGTTATGCACCTGGACTAATGCCCTGACTAAGCAAGATGGTACGAGTTATGGACCTGGTGGTATGTGGTCCTAAACAATGTTTCTGAGGACAACTAGCATCGACACCTAGACTACTGAGCATGACTGCATGCAGGTTAAGATTGGACTCACCCACATGGACACTATGGCCACATGGACACTATGGGTTTGGGAAGGATCTTGGTGGTGCCTCTCAGGATGTTGACCTGGTGCCCTGGACTAACGCCATAGGTTCGGATCTCACACTGGCTTGATCCTCGGCCATAACTTCTATACTTGGACTTATGGACTTAGCTTGGACTAGGGCTTGGGCCGGGACTTAAGACCAAAACTGGGACCTAGAGCTAGACTCGGGCCTAGACCTAGATTGGGACCTGAGCTCGGACTTGACCTAGAGTAGAACTAGATCTGGACTAGGATTGGATCTAGACCTGGACTTGAGACTTGACGTAGGCTCAAACCCTGACCAATGCAAATCACACAAAAATGGTTTGAAAATAATTTGACCCAGGAGTATATGGTTCGTAAAGGTTCAAGAAAGGGTACCTAGCTGTTGAAAAATTGAAATGCAGCCAGGTTCGACAAAAAAACCCGAGAGAAATCAACTGAGGCCAGCCATGCATATTTGACCTATTCGAAAACACATGCGAATTCATTAACTATTGCTAAATACCACTAAAATTACATGGATGTGGGACAAAACCCATGGGGAAAAATAAACATAAAACCGCACCTTGAAACTTCATCTGAAAAACATTTTGGGCATAAAAATAGCTCTAAAATCTATTTCCACCATTAATTATCAAATTTGCATCTAAAAAAACAATGCAAATCTCGTAGATCTATGAACACTTGAAAATAGACGGTCTAGATAGTGTGTTAGAATATAACTACAATTTTTTGGGAGTGAGGCTTTGCTTTTTCTTACATGGCCTAAGCCCTATTTTAACCTTTTCCACAATTTACAAATGAGTAAAGCTAATTTTTTCTCTTTTAAGAATATCAGGAGGCCATGCAGATTTTGAGATGCTTCAGCCATCCAAACCAATTAACACCCAGGGGACAACTTGGGACGGTTCAACAAGCTAGAATGTCACCCAAAAATTCAAAAGCAGCTGAGTACTGTAGCCTGGTTCATGTACCACCCCTTCATACCCATCGTACCCTTGAGGAGAATTCGAAGCAATGCATTAGCAGCCAATCTGTACCAGACAACCGTGCAATAATTTCATTTCTTTATTCTCCTTTCCCTGTGTCCTCTTTGGATAGGTTTCTAGACTAATACATTTTGTTTTCATCTTTTTTTTTTTTCTTTTTTTTTTCAGGCATGAGTTTTCAATGAACAGATCAAACGAAATCTGTGTAATTGTTGATCAAGAAAAAAAAAAAATCAAAAGCATAAAAGTCGACATCAAGCAAGCAAGCAAGGGATCTGAACATGAAATTTGAACATGAATGCATCTAGGCACATATGCAAAGAAGAAATACCACACATCTGGGGAAAGAGCTCGGGCTTAATTGATAGCGCTACCAAGGGTAAGGGCCCTCTCCCCACTGACTTATCCAAAAAAAACCCACACCACACATTTTACAGCTGTGAACTCACCTCCCAATCAATCCAATATTTCTTACGCACAGCAACTTTCCCAACTTGAAAACTAATATCAAAAATGAAAAATTCATGTCAAGAAGTCAAGCCCAAATTTTCAGCATATTTTAGACAACTAAAGGGAGCTTTTTCTTGTCGCCACATTGTGAGAACGTAACAACATAATGCAAGGCCCCACAGGTATAAAACTGCCAACATGCTGTGCTGCAAGTGTTGTGAAATTGTAATAAAGGCATCATCTCAAAGTTTCAATGCCATTTTGGCTGTTCTTTGCCTTTTGCTTTTGGGGAGGTAAAGGACAGGTTGTGATAGCAAATGTTAGGATACAAATTCTAAATCAGCTACTACCAAATGGACAATTGGTATCACGAGTTCTGATAAGAATAGTGTTTTGTAATTGTATTTTTGCATCCTCTACATGAATCATGGAGGCATGTCACCACGCTGATTGTAGGTCATTTCTTAAGGAACGGGAGGTGATAGACCAGTACTGGTACCAGTCTGGCACTCTTGGGGTATCCATTGAACTGCTTTGTGGCTTTGCTCGCCATTCACAAAGAGAACTGCCAAGAATCAAGGTCCTCAAAATTCACCTCCTGCAAGGGCTTCAATGTCATCGACATCATCGTCATCACCATCATTATCAAAAGCTTGATCATTTTGACCTGATAAGAAGAAACCATAAATCAAAAGGGGGAACATCACCTATGTTACCAATAAGCTATGGAATAAGAAAACACAAGTTGACAAATACTAAGCAAAAACAGCAACAGAATGAAAATAGATAATAATGATGTGACTAAAATTATTATAATTATTGAGTTGATCACGTAACATAGAAAACAGAATACTTGGCACTTCATCTCTGGGGTAAGACGAAATTCCTATGATCTCCGTACCAATTATCATTTGCAAAATTGAATACTGAAATCAAGAAAGTGAGACATTTAATAAATTCTCGAGGAAAACCTTAGCAAAGAAAACATGACCAATGCACCCTTTATCCATTTCTGACTAAGTTGTAGACATACAGATTAACTCTGAAAAGACAATAAAGCTCTAACAATTGTTCCTCATTCATTATCTACTGATGACCGTAAACACGCCATTTTTAATGCCAGATTGGCCTATGAAATACGTTTCTCATCGGCTCTGGGGTCCCTTCAGATACAACTAGAACTGAGACATTGAGACACAAATTGGAATACACACCAAGTGCCTCCAGCTTAAAGAAAACATAGATTATCCAAAGGAAAGCAAGCATTGCTGCACAAATGAATTGACTTGTGGGCTGGATTGATAAGAGAAAACGACATGAAACATTGCAACACATGATCTGGTAGGAAGAAATTGGTTGTGCTCCTCCGTGGCAACTCCATCAGGTAAGCAATGATGACACACTCACATGATATATGCATACCATGCAATCCATAAGCACTAAACCCCAGATCAAAAGTAGCAAAAAGAAGAGAAAATAAAGAATCAAAAACACATTTTTGGAAGATAACATTTGCTTAATTTAAGTTACATTCCATGCTTCACTCAATGTGTTTTCTACATCCTAAAAATAACACATTTACCCTCGACTGCCTAGAAAGTTTAGCACACGTTTATACCGTGCAATAAGCACTAAACCCCAGATCAAAAGAAGTAAAAACAGGAGAACAAAGAATCAAAAACACATTTTCAGAAGATAACATACGCTTAATTTAAGCTACGTTCCATGCTTCAATCAATGTGTTTTATACATTCTAACATAACATATCTACCCTTGACTGCCCAGAAAGTTTAGCAGAAGTTTCAATAAAAGTTAAAGTTTAGCATAAATATTTGTCTCTCTAACAATATTTTATAAATTAAAAATTTAGAAGACAATGAATCTTAGATATGTAAAAAATGTAAAAAAATACTAATAACAACAATTTTAAGAAGCAAAAACACACAAATGTTTAGTTTTAAATAACGAATTTGCAATTATAAAAAGAAAATGGAACAAGGTATTTCTTTAAATATCCAAAAAACAGGTTTTTTTGTTTTTTGCTTTTTTTCTCTAGTCTAAAGACAATATTTCTAATTCTAAACCTTACATAATTCAGATAGAATATTTTATTATTTAAAAATTCTGCAAATTAGTTAGTACAAATTTTAATAGCATAAAAGTAATAGAGAGTCTAAGCTTCTTTGACTAATTGGAAAAAGGAAATAAAAATGGTTCCTTATTGCCAATATACAGAAAATTCTACATAAAAGTTATGAAGCATCTAAAACAAATTGAGAAATTTGAAAATTGGAAATAAACCTTGCCTATTTGCAGAATATTCTACATAAAAGTAATAAAGCATTTCAAAAAATTTCAGAAATTTGAAAATCGGCCATAAACCATTTTCAAACCATATAAGTTTTGCCAAAAATAAAAAATAAAATAAAATACCTTTCTACTTCAACATTTCTTAAAAAAAGAGGAAAATGAGTCGTCTATAAAATTTAAAAAGCAATAAATATTAAAACTTTAAAAATATAACACGAGTTTAAACATGATCTACTATTTTGAAATTTTGATTAGAAAGGCGAGCTTAAAATACTGGAAGAGTAGAAAAGCGTGGACATAATTTTTAAAACATTGATAAATCATAAATAAAATATTAGAGGTAAACTAAATTTAAAATATAAAATTTTGTAATTAAATGAGGTATTTCAAAATTTAATAAAGAAACATAATTGGTTTCCTATCTTTTGAAGAAAATACAATATAGTTATTTTTCAAATATTTGAGAAATTCTATTAACAAATTAAAATTTTAGCCAAATATTTGCGAGACACATGTTACTTTGAAAGTACATTAACATATTTTCTCTTTATTTTGGTTATGTACAAGTTAAATCGGTATCTAAAAGTTTTGATTGATGAGACTAGAGGCGGTGTCAACGCAAAGTTAGAACTTTGGAGGGACGCTTTAGAATCTAAAAGTTTTAAACTTAGCTGAACTAAAACAGAATATATGGAATGCAAGTTTAGTAATAATAAGAGTAAAAACGAGGAACTAATTAGGATTGATAGAAAAGAAATACCTAAACGAGATTATTTTTATAACTTGGGTCGATAATCCAAGAGAATTGAGAAATTGAGGAACATGTCATGCAAAGAATTAGAGCTGGCCACGCGAAATGGAAAGTGCAACTAAAGCTTTATGTGATCGCCGCATACCAATGAAACTAAAAGAGAAGTTTTATAGGACAATTGTAAGCCCAGCATTGTTTTATGGGACGGAATGTTGGGCGCTCAAGAAACAAAATATTCATAAGATAAGTGCAGCTGAGATAAGGATGTTGATATCATAATTACCGGGATCCAGTGCAAGAATGGCTCCAAATCAGGAACGGATCGTCAAATCAACATGGGCCAAAAGATCCAGTAAAAGGCATCTATTTAAAAAATCCAAAAAACAACTTTTATTGAAAGGAAAACGCATCATTTTTCATGCCATATTGGCATACAATAAAAATTTATAAATCAGCTTGGTGATCCCTAAAGATCATCAAGTACAACCAAGACACTAAGACACAAAATGGATACAAACCAAGTGTCACCAGCTTAAAGAAAACACAAATTATCCAAAAGGAAAGCAAGCATTGCTACAGCAATGAATGACATGTGAGTTGGATTGATATGAGAAGGCCACATGAAATGCATGGTCTCGTAACAAGAAGTTGGTTGTGCCTCATCATGGCAATTCCATCTAGTTAGCAACCATGATGGAGGGTAAAATTGTTCTTATTCTTTATTTTTATTCAACTTTAAAGGATGTATATTATAATTATAGTTTTAGGGTTTATTTCTAGGGTTTTATTTTTTAGGAATTCCAAGGCTTTTATATTTTTTTTATTTATTCCATGAGTACTATTCATAAATACTATTCATGAGTATTGTTCATGTGTACCATTCATAGGTGTAAAACTAACATTACCAAATTTAGACTTAAGTTAGAACCTTTTGATCAAAAGTTAATTGCATGGACAAATATTGTCCAAAACAATAATTTTCTATTATAAATAAGGGTGTGGATGGGCTGGAGAGGCATTCATGTATTCCTCTTTAAGAAAACAAAGACTTTGTCCTGTAAAAGAAGCCTGACGCTTGAGCCATAGGTAGGAGAAAGCCTTAGGGTTTCTCCAAAATTGCTTGTGCTTGGTTTGTTTCTTGCTAATTTTATTGTTCCTTCAATTTTCCCTGCATCAAGTGGTATCAGACCCGCGATCTACATGGAAGTTACTGTAGTAAGTACGGAGTTACTGTAGCACCGGTGCCATAGGTCAACAACAAAGAAGGGAAGTTATAGTGGGGTATAGGGTTTGCTGATTTTGGCCAAAGTTTGTCAAAACAACCTGGATCTTGCTGATTTTAGCAGTTTTTGTTGATTAATTGCCTAGGGTATGTGCTTTTGACGAACCCATGACAGCGAAAAGGAACTATAGAAGGGGGATTTTCATATATCCACTCCGAGATCTCATAGATGACATAATTGAAGAACTTGAAATGCAAGTACAACAACTGGAGCAGCAATTCGCGAACCTCTGTAATGGACAAGACGATCTTTCAGTCACAGGGGATCTCGAGTATAAGCCCTTTCACTTTTGCGCTCCAAGTGAGGAGTTGAGTGATAACGATAGTGACAAAAGACCTAGATATAGGAAACATCACTCTAGGGTTTTCGATTTAGAGGATGAAATTTTTTATTTCGACACAGTGCACGAAAATTCAACAAATTGTAAATTGGGATTCACCACCAATCTTCGATATATACGTAAACGAACAACAAGATTTCTTTGGAGATCCGATCTATGATAAAGATCAAGATGATGATGAAGATATCTTGTAAGAGGGTGAAGAATATTCAGAGAAGGCAACAGGAGGACTGATCCAAATCATGACCTTTGAAGATGTCATTAATATTGAAGAGATAGAGCATTCAAGAAATTCAGGGTACTGGAATCAGAGTAGTGCAATGGAAGCAGGGTCGATTCAGAATTTGCAAATTGTGGCCCTATGTACTCGATATACATATCAGGATCCATTTCTCGAGGAATTATCTTTACCGCAAATAATATTAGCCAACAAAGAAAAAGAAGATTGAAGAGGGTGATTTTGTTGCTGAATTCATCTTGGCACACTTCAAAACTCAAGGACAAGTTTTCTCCAACTAGGGGAGAATGATGAAGGAAAAATTTGTTCTTATTCTCCATTTTTATTTAACTTTAAAGGATGTATATTATAGTTTGCTTTTAGGGCTTATTTCTAGGGTTTTTAGTTTTTAGGGATTCTAAGGTTTTTATATTTTTTTGTTTATTTCATGGGAACTATCCAGAAGTACAATTCATGAATACTATTCATGGGTACAATTCATAAGGGTAAATTTGTCATTACAAAATTTAAATTTAAATTAGGGCATTTAGTTTCAAATTATACTTCAATTAGGACCTTTTGATCAAAAATTAATTATATGGACAAATATTATCCAAAACAACAATTTTCTATTATAAATAAGGGCGTGAATGGGCTGGAACGTGATTCACGTGTTCCTCATTCATAAAATAAAGACTTTTTCTTTAAAAAAAAGCCTAAGACTTGAGCCCTGGGTGGGAGAAAACCTTAAGGTTACTCCAAAATTGCTTGTGTTTGGCTTGATCTTTGCTGGTTTTATTATTTCCCTCAAATTTCTCTACATTAGTTTCTCGAGGAATTATCTTTACCATGAATTATATTTGAGCCAATAAAGAAAAACCATGAATTATCATTTTGGCACACTTCAAAACTCGAAGACGAGTTTTCTCCAACCAGGGGAGAATGATGGAGGGAAAAATTGTTCTTATGCTTTATCTTTATTCAACATTAAAAGATGTATATTATAGTTATAGTTTTAGGGTTTATTTCTAAGGTTTTTAATTCTTAGGAATTCTAGGGTTTTTATAGTTTTTTTATTTATTTCATGAGTACTATTCATAAGTATTGTTCATGGGTACAATTCACAAGGGTAAAACTTTCATTCAATATTTAGACTTAAGTTAGAACCTTTTGGTCAAGTTTCAATTGTATGGACAAATATGGTCCAAAACAACAATTTTCTATTATAAATAAGGGCATAAATGTGAAGGAGAAGCGTTCATGCATTCCGCATTAAGAAAACAAAAATTTTGTCTTGTAAAAGAAGTCTAGCGCTTGAGCCATAGGTCGAAGAAAGCCTTAGGGTTTCTCCAAAATTGCCTGTGTTGGCTTGTTTCTTGCTAATTTTATTGTTCTCTCAATTTTCCTTGCATCAAACCATGACATACTGGCATGATATGTACATACGTTGTAATCCAATAGCACTAAACCCAAGCAAAAGAAGAAAATAGAAGAGAGAGAACGAAGATATACGAACACATTTTTTGGAAGGTCACACATGTTTAATTTAAGTTGGGTTCAGTACTCATTCACTGTGTTTATGCTTTCTAAACATAACACATTTATCCATAACGGCCTAAAAAGAAATTACAATTTTACCTTTTCGGCTTATCCATTGCCCAAAAACACAAAATATAGAAAAATCATTTGCAGCTTCTAAAAAATCACTTATTAAATTGTAATTCCACAATGTTAATCCCTATCTAAATCTTCATATCACTCCCCCTCAAGTTGGTCTGTGATCTCTCATGCCTGATTTGTCCCTCAAGAAAAATGCATTGTAATCTCCCTTCTACAATTGCCTACGTAAATATTGTTAGAATTTGAGAAACTTATGTTTGGGACGTACGAAGTAGATGAATACCCATCCCTGTACAATAACATGACAACACTACACTCAAACAAATGAAGAAATTGCAATGACTAATGTTTTGGATATACGTCTTACAAGACCTCGTTACAATTTCAATAAATGATTATAGCCAATAAATATGGTGATAAAAGGAGTGAAGAGAGACTTCAAATCAAACTATCCACTACCTTGATCAGCTATCATGAATGAAGGCCTGAAATTACACCTTTATCCCTTAGTCACCATGTTCAAAAATTTGCCAGCCCGACCACCTAGGCGGAAATTTTTTAAAAACGACTAGGCGCTTGCTAGGTGGGTTCATTATGCATCTTGCGTCTAGGCGCCCTCCTGCACGGGCAAGGCGCAGCCTAGGTGCTACAGTCTAGGCGCCCGCCTAGGCACGGCCTCGTGAGAAGTTGAGAAAACGTGAAAAATGGGTCTCGTTGAGGATTAAACAAAGTCATTTTTTCCCCCAAAACAAGGGGGGAAAGGGTTTTGGGAGGTATTCTAAACCCCCAAAACCAAAACCGTGGCTTTTAGGGTAAGAAAAAATCCCCAAAAACCACTCTTTTGAGATTTATCGAGAGATCAATGACTTTTTTATTTTTTAAATTTCTTTTCAAAACAAAGGCAATAGTTTATGGGTGGATTTGGAGCTTCTAATAGTTGATTTTGAGGACTTTTGGTGACCCAATAGATGAGGTTTGCATCGACATTGATTTGATTTTGCTATTTTAAAATTATTATTATATTAGAAAGAGGGATTTGATTTGATTTTGCTAAATATATTATGTTGTGAATCATGTCTTTTTTCTTTTACCTTTTTTTTTTTCTTTTACAATATATTTACATGTTTATAGTAAAAAGATTGATTTTTTTGTGATTAAATGAATTTTTTCTCACCTGGATGATGAATCATGTGTTTTTGCGTTTCTAGTCTAGACTTCTAGTTTCGTACAATGACATTTGGGACTTCAAGCATTTTTGTGTCTTACAAGTTACAATCTTTTTGAGACTTGTATTCGTAAATCTATTTTGTGATTGTACTATTACATTTTCGTCTATTTCACGAGGAGTTTGGGGCTGTAAAATTGCCCTGAAAACTCCCTAAGGCTTAAAACCATGCCCTAAGGACTCCCTTGTTTTTTTTGGGAAAGGGGGCGGGGGGTTTCAATTTTGGTGAGGGCACCCTGTCTCTAGGCGGCCAGGCACCCAAAACTCCTACGCGACCGCAACATTGTTTAGTCATCCAAACCCTTATTCTCCTTTAAATTGAATTTAATTTTGTTTTATTAAAAACTAATTTTATTTTGCTTTAAATTGAACATTAGGACAGGGTAGAGAGAAAAAAATATATCAAGCTCTCTTAAAGAGCAATTTAGAGATCGAGAGAGAGAGAGAGTAATTTTGACACTATAAATGAAAATGGTTATTGATTAAAAACAAAAAAGAAGAAAACTATTATAGATGCATTAGCATCAACTTGTATTCAAATTCAAGCAATTTGCACAAAGCTATACCATTATAAGATCCTTCACATAGTTTTAGAATTACAACCTTTGTTTCAGCCAATCCATTTAAGTTGCAACCTTCAAAAACTATTTTCTTTTACTCATTTATGGATCAGGAAGACATGCATAATTGATCAGGCTAACATTACAAATTCCAAGTAGCCGAGAAGAAGAGATATAGAACTGAAAAATGCAAATGATGCATTTACAGCTCATACAACAAAACATAATGAAGTTGAACACTAGTAGCAGATAAAAGACATAAATATGTTAATTAAACGACAATCCCAATAGAATGCAAACAAAACAATACAGCAAATGAATATGCGAAGAAATAAAGTATTTTGAAACATGGAAAACACCCTTAAAAACCTGGAATTAAAAAAGTACAAAACAGTTACCTCTAAACTCCAAGGATGAGGAACTACGGAGAAAAGCATCAGATTCTTGATTGCTATCAAGAAGATATGGAAGTCCCAATAACTGCAGAAAGGATTCTATTTGTGGATTCCGAATGTGTCCTGGATAATATAGATTTTGACTTAATATCAGCATGCAGCCAGGAAGTAAAAAACAATCTTAAGCCTCAACTCGTAGGTCATAACTAAAGGATGACATTACAGCCTCATTAGCATGACATTAAAGCCTCCATGATTTGCTTGAAAAATACTAAAGATATTGTCCTTTCCCAGTATCATGACAACCAAATATTAACTAAATTTTATCCTAAAAATCAGGGAAAAGGTCAAAACATTACAAGTTGATGGCTCTACGATCTATGCACCATAAAATCCAAAAAATGATGCAGTCAGGACAAAATTATTCCTATTTTAAATTTTTATTTAATCTATTTTTATACTATTAACGAGTAACTACTCATGACTACTATTCATGTGTATCGTTCATGGGTTTTGGAATTCCTAATCTTGTTTAGGGTTTACTTTTAGGAAAAAATTTATATAGAGCCGACGCTCTAAACAATCAAATTAGAGCCCAACTCAAAACTTTTGCTAGAAGAAGTTGCTTTGATGCCCAAATATCCTCAAATTGATCATCTCGACATCAAGAAGCATATCTTTATAAGATGGGAACCAGAAAACTAAGGTTTTGGGTATTGGAGATTACGCCTTCAGTTCGAAAAGGGCAAGAGCATGGTCCTAAAGCAAACTTTCTATGCTCCTAATAAGATAAATATTTTGGTTTCGGTCGCTAGATTGGCTAAGGCTGAACATTCCTCCATTTTCTATAGCAATAAGGTGGAGGTAAAATTTGAGGATGAATTGGTCATGAATGGTCTTCTTGTTAACAGCTTCTTTACAGTTGCAATAAAGAATTCCATTTCTTATGTCCCATGTTATAATGATGATGATGAGGATGCATACATTATGGCATATGAGATTGGGGCATATAGATTAAAAGAATGGAGAGATTAAAGAGAAAAGGATTATTGAAAATTTTCAATGGAAACTTAACCAAAGTCTGTGAATCATGTATTCAAGAAAAGTTGGTTAAGAAATCCATTGCGAAAGATTAGAGAGCTATTGACATTTTAGAAGTTGTCCATAATGATATTTGTGGACCTATGAAAGTGACCACTAAAGGCCACAAGAGGTACTTTATCACTTTCATTGACGACTACTCCCATTTTGGCCATGTATACCTATTATGGGAAATGTATGAAGCCCTAGACCACTTCAAAGAACAAAAGCCAAGGTAGAAACCCAAACAAACTAGAAAATTAAAACACTTACAACCAATATTTTGGTTTCGATTGCTAGATTGGCTAAGGCTGAAAAATCCTCCATTTTCTTTGGCAATAGGTGGAGGTAAAATTTGAGGATGAATTGGTCATGAATGGTCTTCTTGTAGACAGTTTCTTTACAGTTGCAATAAAGAATTCCATTTCTTATGTCCCATGTTATAATGATGATGATGATGATGATGCATACATTATGGCATATGAGATTGGGGCATATAGATTATAAACAAATGGAGAGATTAAAGAGAAAAGGATTATTGAAAATTTTCAATGGAAACTTAACTAAAGTCTGTGAATCAAGTATTCAAGAAAAGTTGGTAACAAAATCTTTTGCGAATGATTAGAGAGCTACTGACATTTTAGAAGCTGTCCATAATGACATTTGTGGACCTATGAATGTGACCACTAAAGGCCGCAAGAGGTACTTTATCACTTTCATTGATGACTACTCCTATTTTGGCCATGTATACCTATTATGGGAAATGTCGGAAGCCCTAGACCACTTCAAAGAATAAAAGCCAAGGTAGAAACCCAAACAAACTAGAAAATTAAAATACTTAGAACCAATAGGGGCGGAGAATATTCCTCACAATTATTTAAAGAATTTTGTATTGAGTATGGTTATACACTAGTATAGTATGCCATACATTCCTTAAGAAAATGGGTTACTCGAGACATGAAAAGGGACCTTGGTGGAAATGGTAAAGAGTATGATGGGTCATGCTAAACTCTCCCAAGAGTTCTGAGGAGAAGCAGTTTTGACAGCCGGTTACGCTCTTAACCAAACTCGTATAAAGGCAGTCCCACTGTCTCCTCATGAGACTTTGACTAGTCGTACTCCACCTTGATCATCTAAGAGTGTGGGGATGTTCAGCCCATGTCATAATACCCATCAAAATAGGACAAACTGAAACCCAAAACAGTTAAGTCCATCTTCACAAGATACCCACCACATGGTAAGGGATATTGGCTATACAATCCTGACACAGAGTCTGTCCTTGAGAGCAGGGATGCCCATTTCCATGAGGAAGGGTTCCTTGAAGGTCGTGCCTATCATAAACAAGTTGAACTTTATGAGATAACAAGTGACAAGAATCAGGCTCAAGATCCCGAATCACCTCGTCATAGGAGAAGTAACCGAATTACAAGAAAACCTGAATTCTTTACCGACTTTGGAGAATTTTATGAGAGGATTGAAGAAAAATCCCTACATGAACATTTTTCCTATCAAGAAGCCATAAACTGCCATGAAAATATACAGTTGGAAAAAGCCATGATTGATGAACTTAACTCGATTAAACAAAACCATGTTTGGGACTTAGTAAACTTACTTGCCGATAGAAAATCCATAGGCTGCAAGTGAATCTATATGAAGAAATTACACTTGGAAGGGAAATTAGAAAAATATAAAGCTAGACAAATACCAAAGGGACCCAGAAAGAAGGAATAGATTATGGTGAGACCTTCTCTCATGTAGCTAAGTTCCCCTCCATTAAGATCCTAATAGCCATAACAGCCCATTTCGATTTCGAGCTCCACCAGATGGATGTTAAGACTGCATTTCTAAATGGGGTGCTACCGTCCTAGAAGAACAAATTTACATGAAACAATCAGAGGACTTCACAGAAAAGGCAAAGAACATGCTCGTGTGTAAATTTAGGAAGTCCCACTATGCCTTAGACAAACATCAAGGAAGAGGTACATTAAATTTCAGGAGAGCTTGTCGAAAGCTAGTTTTGTGCCTAACCAGAAGGATTATTGTGTATATGTTAAGGTCATTTGAAGTGATGCTCTATTCATTTCTCTATATGTGGATGGCATGTTAATTACCAGTAGTTCGATGACTCTCATATTGGAAACAAAAGCTTTCTTGTCACAGAATTTTGATATGAAAGATCTTGCAAACGCATCATATGTTTGAGAATCAAGTTCACCAGAAATAGAAGAGAGAGAAACATTCAGTTATCTCAAGAGATACTATAAGAAAATTCTGAAAAGATTTGAAATGGAGATTGCCGGCCCATATTAACCCCCATTGAAAAGAAGACCAACCTAAACCTAGCCATGTGTCCCACTAACTTCAGAAGAAAAGAAGCCATGCAAAGAATCTCGTACAGAAGTACTTAGGTCACTAACGTATGGTATGTCAGGGACAAGACCAAACTTATTACTTGCAATGAATATGATTAGCAGGTTCTAGAGTAATCTACGCATGGAGCACTAGAAGGCAATCAAAAGAGTTTTGCAATACTTAAATGAATCGGTTAGTCACATGTTCACTTATGGAGGAGTCTCGAATATATAGATACAGGGATATGCAGATGAGCACTATCATGGTGATCTAGATGAGATGAAGTCTACATTTGGGTATATTTTCACTCTTGCCGGTACAATTGTTTCATTGTGCGAAACGAGACAGGATGTTGTTGCACTCTCGACTATGGAATCAGAATATGTAGCTCGTTGTCTCGTAGCAAAAGAATTAGTCTGATTGAGGAAGTTCCTAAATAAACTCAAATTTTATCCGATGAATTGCCTGTGTAAGAATCTTCTGCGACAACTAGGCAACAATTTGTGTGACCAAAGAATCACGGTTTCACAAGAAATCAAGACACATTAAGGCGGACTACAACCATATTGTAACGAGATCTGAGCAAGAAGGCTCGAGGTTGCTTATATCCCTACAAAGACTATGTTATCAGATCCTTTGACAAAAGGATTGGTGGCAAATATATTTGCAACCATGTACATGGGATGGGCTTGAGAGAGACTAAGAGGGAGTTATTGTCTTTCAAGGGCCCAGTGGGAGATGTTGGGGTTTGACCTTTAAAGGCCGTGAGAACATGTAAAAAGACATTTACAGTGAATTATACACTTCAGTGGGAGTGTGTATTGTTTGACTGATTAAGGGTCTATGGCCTTGGTCATGTCCAAAACCCTTACCTAAGCATGTGACAGTACTGAAAGGGGTTTTACAGTGAGTCATCCCTTATCGAGGTTAGAGAGATATCCAGCGATGGTTTATAGGCCAAAAGAGTTGTGTCGTCTCCTATGTGTGGAGGTAAGCCTGTGAGAATCAAGGTTAAATCTTCAACAAACGTCCACACAATATGTACATATGACGGCTGCATTACCAGGAAGCATCCCTAAAAAGGGAAATCTATACATGAGAATAGAGAGAGTCCCCCTTGGATTGTAGTGACATGTGATTGACTTGCGCATAACGAGAAAACTGTAATCCACTTTTCGTAACTCTGGTCCCACTGTTTATTGGCCAGCTTTGACAAGCCAATCATGAGCCCCTTCATAAGACTGTGGGTCATAGATTTCGTTGGGTTGGTTTGAGAAGTTAGTTGTGAATCATGGTCACTAGGTTGGGTAAAGTGCCCTTATAGATGTTTATTTTAACCATTGGTACCAGTCCACCTCTAGATTTCAGCACTAGAAATGCTTCTGTAAATTTTACAAATTTTTTCAAATTGTTAAATTTTACTTCTACTATATTTTCCTTCCAAATGGGTGTTTTTGAATTTTGTGAGTTAGAAAGGGCACATGTCGGCCCTTGGATCCAGCCCCACAGGTGTGCCACACACCATGGGTGGGCCGTAGGGCCTATGGGGCCAAATGTCCCACATGGAGTGGCATGCCCCCATCTCTCTTATGTTTTGTTATTTTTTAATTAAAGATGTTTTTAAGTTAGTTAAAGATAATCTTTTTAAAGAGATTATGTGTGGGAATTGGATCTGACCAAAATTATATTAT